AAGAAATAAGAGGCCGGGTGCAGTGGCTCATGGCTGTAATCCCAGCACTTTGGGAGGTCAAGATGGGCAGATTACTGGAAGTCAAAAGTTCGAGACCATCCTGGCCAACATGGTGAAACTCCAGCTCTACTAAAAATACAAAAATTAGCTAGGTGTGGTGGTGGGTGCCTAATCCCAGCAATTTGGGAGGCTGAGGCAGGAGAATTGCTTGAACCTGGGAGGTGGAGATTGGAGTGTGTCAAGATCACACCAGTGCATTCCAGCCTGGATGACAGAGCGAGGCATCATTTCAAATAAATAAATAAAGTGTGGTGGCTCACACTTGTAATCCCAGCACATTGGAAGGCTGAGGCGGGTGGATTACCTGAGGTCAGGAGTTCAAGACCAGCCTGACCAACATGGAGAAACCCCGTCTCTACTAACAATACAAAATTAGCCGGGCGTGGTGGCGCGCACCTGTAATCCCATCTACTTGGGAGGCTGAGGCAGGAGAATCACTTGAACCTGGGAGGCGGAGGTTGCAGTGAGCCAAGATTGCGCCACTGAACTCCAGCCAGGGTGACAGAGTGAGGCATTGTTTTAAAAATAAATAAATAGCCGGGGGCGGTGGCTCACGCCTGTAATCCCAGCACTTTGGGAGGCCGAGGCGGATGGATCACGAGGTCAACATATCGAGACCATCTCGGTCAACATGGTGAAACCCCGTCTCTACTAAAAATACGAAAAATTAGCTGGGCGCGGTGGCACGTGCCTGTAATCCCAGCTACTCAGGAGGCTGAGGCAGGAGAATTGCCTGAACCCAGGAGGCGGAGGTTGCGGTGAGCCGAGATGGTGCCATTGCACTCCAGCCTGGGTAACAAGAGCGAAACTCCATCTCAAAAAAATTAAAAAAATAAAAAATAAAAATAAATAAATAAATAAATAAAAAGGAAGAAGGGAGGGGAGGAGGAAAAAGCAAAGGGGCCCTGACATGAAGGCCAAAGAGGCAGAAAGAAAACTGAGAGGCATCCTGAAAGCCCAGTGAACATGCTTCTAAGGGGAAGTAATCCACTGGCTACGATGTTTCTAAGAGGGAAAGTGATCCACTGGCTACGATGTTTCTAAGAAGAAGTGATCCACTGGCTACGATGTTTCTAAGGGGAAGTGATCCACTGGCTACGATGCCACCGGCAACATCAAGGAAGAAGAAAAGTGCGATTCAACTTCTGCATCGAGCAGTGCGGTCACGTGGTAGGAAGATCAGTTTGAAGTGGGCCCAAGGAAGAATGGAAAGGGAGAAGAGAAGGCAACAACAGACAAGTCAAAACATTTTGCTGACATGAAGCAGAGAAATGATACAGGAGCTAGGTGCAGTATTGAGTTTTGTTTTGGAAGCACGTCTGCATGTTGACAGGAATCATCTAGCATATTGAGAAAAACTGATGATACACAAAACAGGGAGACTTGTTGGGGCAATGCCCTGAAGCACTGGAGGGGGACAGGCTTGGTATATAGGCCCAGCCACTCATAAAAAAAAAAAATGGAATTGGCCTGGCGCGGTGGCTCACGCCTGTAGTCCCAGAAATTTTGGGAGGTCGAGGTGGGTGGATCACGAGGTCAAGAGATCGAGACCATCGTGGTCAACATGGTGAAACCCCGTCTCTACTAAAAATACAAAAAATTAGCTGGGCACAGTGGCGCGTGCCTGTAATCCCAGCTACTCGGGAGGCTGAGGCAGGAGAATTAACTGAACCCAGGAGGCGGAGATTGCAGTGAGCCGAGGTCATGCCATTGCACTCCAGCCTGGGTAACAAGAGCGAAACTCCATCTCAAAAAAAAAAAAGGAATTGCAGTAGGGGGTAGGGAAGGCAGAGGGATGTTATGAAGGCCTCCACTGACTGCTTCTACTTTCTCAGGGAAACAGAAACCAAAATCATCTGCTGAGATTTGGCAAGAAGGAATATTCAGGCAGGAGATTATTGAAACCTAGGTATTAAATAGTCAACTAGCTCAGGAAGGAATGCTTGAAACAGTCTAGTGGAGGGGCTTGTCACGTGTGGAATGGTTTTAGGGATAACAATGGAAGTGACTGGCTGGGGAAGGGGGCAGAGCAAAACTATCAGGAGAGAAAAGGCTGAAGTTTAACAGTGAAGTAAGGACATCAGAAAATCAACTTCATGGGGCTGGGCGCAGTGGCTCAAGCCTCTAATCCCAGCACTTTGGGAGGCCAAGGCGGGTGGATCACAAGGTCAAGAGATCGAGACCATCCTGGTCAACATGGTGAAACCCCGTCTCTACTAAAAACACAAAAAATTAGCTGGGCATGGTGGCGTGTGCCTATAATCCCAGCTACTCGGGAGGCTGAGGTAGAGGTTGCGGTGAGCCGAGATTGCACCATTGCACTCACGCCTGGGTAATGAGCAAAACTCCGTCTCAAAAAAAAAAAAAAAAAAAAAAGAAAATCAACGTCATGGACATTGGAATCAGAAGTATCATGACAGGGACAGTTTTAGATGCAGTGAGGCCAGAGCTGAAATCTTTGAGATACACCAATGGTAACCTGCTGGTAGATGACTGCAGCTAGGAGAAGCAGTGGTGATCACCTAGAGACCTGAGTCAGTGCTCATTTTGAGAGAAGAGACAGAGAACAGTCTGAAAGCAGTGAATAAGAAAAGTGGGGCCAGGCATGGTGGCTCACACCTGTAATCCTAGCACTTTGGGAGGCCAAGTCGGGCAGATGGCTTGAGCACAGGAGTCTGAGACCCTGCCTCTAAAAAATTACAAAAATTAGGCCAGGGGTGGTGGCTCACACCTGTAATCCCAGCACTTTGGGAGGCCAAGTTGGGCAAATCACAAGGTGAGGAGTTCGAGACCATCATGACCAACATGGTGAAACCTTATCTCTACTAAAAATACAAAAATTAGCTGGGCATGGTGGCGCACACCTGAAGTCCTGCCTCGGGAGGCTGAGGAAGGAGAATCACTTGAACCAGGGAGTCAGAGATTGTAGTGAACCAAAATAGTGCCACTGCAGTCCAGCCTGGCGACAGAACAAGACTCCCTCTCAAACAAAACAAAACAAAACAAAAACAAAAACTAGCCAGGCATAGTGGTGAGTCCCAGCTACTCAAGAGGCTGCGGTGGGAAGATCACTTGAGCCCACGAGGCACAGGTTGCAGTGAGCCAAAATCGTCGCGCCACTACACTGCAGCCTGGGCAACAGAGTGAGACTCTGTCTCAAAAAAAAAAAAAAAAAAAAGTGGGAAGGAAAAGCAGTCACCCTTAGAAGGGAGGCACCGTGCATAGGGGAGACCCACAGCCGGAAGGTGAAGGGGGACTCCTGATGGCTGAAAGAAAGTGGCCCCTAGGCTTCCGCGTTGGGAGGAATGGAAGATGGACTCAAAAAGGGCAATGAACTAAGTCATGTATGAGGGTGCTAGAGGGGACCTGGGAGTCCTGGACATTAGGGAACACTGAAATCAATCTTGATACTTTAGTGTCAAGGCTGTGTGTAACAGGTCGGAGAAGGGAATACTTCCAGGAAGAAGCAGAAGTCAGGGGCTTTCTTTTGACTCATGATGTGACTGAGCCACAGGGCCTTTGCACAAATCATGTAAACAAATCCATCAATAACTAATATGCCCCTGCCACCTTTACCAGGTGACCACGAATGCATCAGGCCCTGAATCAAATGTTACACACCTAAGTCAGCCCAAGCTAGAAGCATCAGAGGGTGAAAACAGCCTCCCCATGGCATCAGTAGGCCATCATTTCTCAAGCACTGGAGAGCCATGGACCCTTTGACAATTAGATGAATCTTATGAATCCCAGATTTCCACTCGATACCCTTGAAGCCTATCCAGAAAGGATCCTTGGCCCCCAGTTAGAGCCCTGCTTTAGTGAAAGTACAAGAAGTATTTATGAACTAGAGAGAAGTCGCTCAAGTCTTCTGATCCATCATGCCACTTTTCCCCTGTGAACACCGAAACTTCCTTACTCTAGGTGAACTGGCTAGCTCTCTTCCCTTCTGAATCCTGCTCCTTCAAGTAAGCTTTTCATCTGAAGAAGATTACAAAAAAAAAAAACAACACTGAATTCAAGGTAAACCTTAGGAAATGGTGCTCTCAAGTGCAGTGGCATCTGGTTATGTAAAAGAACAAACACCCTTGCCCTAGCTCTCTTCCCTTCTGAATCCTGCTCCTTCACGTAAGCTTTTTATCTGCAGATTACAAAACAACAACAACACTGAATTCAAGGTAAACTTTAGGAAATGGTGCTCTAAAGTGCAGTGGTATCCAGTTATGTAAAAGAACAAACACTCTTGCCCCCTCTGCTCCATAAGTGGCATTCTAAATCCACCAAGGGACTTGCCCAGTCCTCCAGCAAGTCCTCCAGGCCCTGCTGCCCTGTAATCCTTGGGGTTGTAGGCAGCAGAATTCTAGGCTTCTGGGACTCAGGTCCCAGAAAATGCAGTGATTCTGAATGTCCAAACAGACTTCATATTCCAAAGGGATATTAGCTCTCATGTTAATATAAATCCTTCAAGACAGAGGAACCAGGTAACTTTATTTCTCATTGTTATAATTTTCTTTTTATTATCAAATCTTCACTATAGAAACACTAAAGAAACTGGGGGGAAAATCATTGGATAAGCTGGTTATTCTAGTTAGCAAAAAAAAAAAAAAATCATTGAAGAGGCAGCATAAAATGGTGGCTGAAAACAAGAACTCTGGAGCCAAACAATGTCAGCTCTGCTCTTACTAGTTGTGGCCTTTGGGTAGGGTTCTCAACATCTCTGCTTTAGTTTAGCCATTTGTACAACTGGGATAACAGTACCTATCTCATGGAGTTAGGGGATGAAACAAGTTAACACTTGGAAAGCATTCAAAACAAAGCCCAGCTACATAACTGCTACATGTATTTGCAAAACCTCTTTAAAATCTCAAATTAACTGGGTAAATTTTTCCATGGATCTTTCAGGTCCTTGTCCATATAGATTTTTTTAGATCTGCTACAGTAAATATGTACATACAGTTCTGTACCCTTTTTATTCCTTCATGTTAGTATATTGATGTAGTGTTCACAATTATAATTTATAGTGATTGCCTAAAACAAATTACAAACTAATTGCCCAACAATGCAGTGACGGGTAACAATGGATGCTGATACACTGGGCTAAGGATCACGTTCTGTCCAGCAACCTCAGTCTAACACTCCTGGGCATAACTTTTCTACCATTAGTCATCTCATTCATTAATTTTCTCTAAGGAGGTTAATCAACAGTAAATACCCCATTCAGTACTATTGTTTTTCTTACATTCAGATTTAGTATTTCATATTCTACTCCTTAAAGGGCATCTAAACCCTCCCCTCATCACGACAAAATCTGTATTTCTACAATTATGCACAAAATGTTATTGTAAAGTTTTCCATCCAATACTCCAGCTTGATGCAAAACAGTGTGTTTCCAGTCAAAAACTTTTCTCTGCATAAGGTTTTTCCCTTAGCAATTCACACCAATCTATAAGTAGGTGACAGCTCTTGCTAAAAGATGCCTCATTCCCCACAGTCATGGTCCTCAAGTATGAATTATTGGTGGACCATAAGGGGAGTTTAGAGTTTTCTTCATTGTAATTATCTGATTTTGAATAAGGGCTATATAACTGCTGAAAGCTTTTCCCTATTCTTTTCCTTCATGGGGTTTCTTCTAAGATGATATTTTCTAGTAAATAATGCGGGAGAAGCCTTACTGAACTCTTAATGAAAAATGTCCCCTCTTGATTACGCTTATAGGGTTTTCCTCAATGTGTTGTCAAATGTACAATAAATGAAAAACTCTCACAAATTCAATTCGGTTTCTCTTCACTGTGATTTCTCTGGTGCTGAAGTAGGGCTGAGTGACCACTAAAGGCTTTTCCACATTCACTGCATATAAAGCGTTTCTCTCCACTATGCATTCTCTGATGAATAATAAGGGAAGAATTCTTACAGAATGCTTTCTCACAATGATTACATTTGTAGGGCTTTTCTCCAGTATGGTTTCTTAGGTGTACAATAAGGGACGAACTCTCATTAAATGCTTTCCCACATTCATTACACCTGTATGGTTTCTCTCCAGTATGAGTTCTCCGGTGTGCAATGAGGTGAGAACTACAGTTAAAGGATCTTTCACACTGATTACATTTATAGGGTTTCTCACCAGTATGAATTCTCCGATGAGCAACAAGGTGACAGCTCTGACTGAAGGATTTTCCACATTTATTGCATTCATAGGGTTTTTCTCCAGTATGAGTCCTTTGATGTCTAACAAGGTGAGCCATCTGGCTACAGGATTTTCCACATTTATTACATTCATAGGGCTTAATTCCAGAATGAATTATCTCATGTTTAGTGAGGGCTGAGCGTTCTCTGAATGCTTTGCCACATTCCTGACAATTATAGGGTTTCTCTCCCGTGTGAGTTCTCTGATGGGCAATAAGATGGGAGCTCCAGCTGAAGGATTTTCCACATTCAGTACATTTATATGGTTTTGCTCCGGAATGAGTTCTTTCATGTTTACTAAGGGCTGAGTAGTCTCTAAAAGCTTTTTCACATTCATCACATTTAAAGGGTTTCTCTCCAGTATGCATTCTCATATGGGCAATAAGATGGGAGCTCCAGCTGAATGATTTCCCACATTCAGTACATTCAAAAGGTTTCTCTCCTGTATGAGTCCTCTGATGTCCAATAAGATGAGAGTTCCAGTTGAAAGATTTCCCACACTCATTACAAACAAACGGTTTTTCTCCTGTATGAATTCTCTTATGTACAATAAGATGAGAATTCCAGCTGAAGGCTTTTCCACATTTATTACATTCATAGGGTTTTATTCCAGTGTGAGTCCGTTCATGTTTAGTAAGGGCTGAGCGATTCCTAAAAACTTTTCCACATTTATCACATTCATAGGGTTTTTCTCCAGTATGAGATTTCTTATGTTGAATAAGGTAAGAGCTCCAGATGAAAGATGTACCACATTCATTGTAGTCATAGGGTTTCTCTGCAGTGTAAGTGCTTGTATGTTGAAGGAATGAGTCATACCCAAAGACTTTCTCCCATTCATTGTATTTATATGCTTTCTCTACAGTACCAATTTTTTGATGTTCCATAAAGGATGAGAAATAAAATATATTCTCATATTCTTTGTAATTATACTGGTTTTCTCCTACATGAAGCCTTGGGTGTTCATTAAATGATGGGCTCTGGTTAAAGATTTGATGGCATTCCTTATATTCGTAGAGTTTTTCTCCTGTGTGAATTCCTTTATGATCACCAAAATGTATTATATGATTGAAAGATTTAACAGCATCAGTACATTTGAAAAGATTATCTCCAGTTTGTATTCTTGCAGGGTAAACAGGATGAATGGACTGGTAAGCAGTTTGGTCGTAATCAGTATTTTCACAGGTAACCTTATCTGCATACATTATGGCTGAGTTACATCTCCAACTTTCGGCATGCGTATCAGGCTTATAGAAATGTTCTATCTGAGAAACCCTCTGCGATGGAACAAAGTTGAAGTTCTGGCTATACCCTGCCCCAAATTCACAGAATTCAGAGCTTCTCTGGGATAGTACTTGCTTTTGCATGAAGACCATCTGCCTCATAGCCATACTCTGGTTCATGTGATACATTTCTAATTGGTCTTTACATCCCAAAACTTCTAACCTGGAGAACCAAGGATCATCCCATATGTATCTTTCCAACTTCATGCCATGGGATTGTTCTTCCTCAAAAATGCTCTGTGCTGGGATCAATGCTTTACTTTCAAGATTTCTCATCCATTCTGAAATAGGCAGGGAAAAAAAAAAGCTATGAGAGCATAGAGAAAGACATTAGAAGAAAGTGGGAACAGTGAGATTTACTGTCTGTATTATCAATAAGACAAGTATAAATTTGTTTTCAAGTCCAGACTTAGAACTCAGAGAAAGATCATAATAGGGAAAACAATAGTGAAAAGTGAACAACAGTCAACCAGAATACAAAGTGTGTACTGAAAACTAATGAAACCATTTAAAAGTACTTTCCTCTCATTAGGAGCATGCACTAAAAAAAAAAAAAAAAAAAGAAGAAGAAGAAAAGTACTTTCCATGAAAAGGAAGACAGGGATAAGAATGTGTAAGAAAGAGTAACTCTGCAGGCCTGATGTGCTCAAACTTTTCAAAGGTGGCCTGTTTCCTGACTGGCCCTTGGGCAACTCCTGGGAATTAAGATCTTGGAATGTTCTAACTAGTAAGAGTGTTTCGCATGCTCAAGTTATTGAAGCACACTGTACCAATTTCTTTAGATATCTGTGCAAACAATGTCATTCATAGTGATCACCTGCTTTCCCTCTGGGTGGTCTGGAGTTTCAGCGACTGCAGTGAGTCAGGCAGGCACTACATGCCTGTATGAGCAACCTCTCAACAAACACACTGGACTCCCAGACTCAGGCACATTTCCTAGTAGACATTTCACATGTGTTGTCACAACTCCTTGCTGGAAGAATGTGTCCCATGTACCTCCACTGGGAAAGCACTACTGGAAGCTTGCACCTGGTCTAACCCCACGCATCTTTTTCCTTTGGTGTTGCTTTGTATCCTTTCACTGTAATAAACCATCATCCTGAGTATAATGACTTTTGAGTCCTTTAAGTCCTCATAGTGAATCAGTGAACCTGGGCGTGGTCTTGAAGACCCCTGACAAAAGGACACAGTGAATATTATTAAGGTTAAAAAAAAAAGAATAAAGCCTTTGATCTTAACAAAAGGTAGGTAGATGAGCACACGAGGCCTTTAGCAAGTAATGTTTACATTATGAGTGCCCTAATTGACTTCTGTGTTATAATGTGCTTCTACTCTCCTATGTTGACAAACGCAAAAAAAAAAAACGGAGGAGAGGGGTGTTAAGAGAGTTATCAACAAACAAGGCTTCAAGCCAAGATTTTATCTATGACCAAATGCTATCGCATTGTTTCCTATGTCATAGAATCTAGCCAATCACACAAGATCCACCAACCCAAAGGGCAAACATCATCAGGGTTTATAGATACCCCTGAAGTTACACTTCTATTCATCACAGAATCATTTTTAGAGCAATGCTATAAGAGATGGACTAGGAATACAGCACAGTATGAAAACACAGAGACAGGAGTTACAGTCTGCTAATCTATACTTGAACAATGGCCCTGCTGCTATCCTTAGAGGACTTTTCTGACGACTAATAAGACTCAGAATCCAGCCAAAGTCCTGACAAGTTTAACACACAGAAGCCACCTAATATCACTCCTGAAGTATCAGTCATCCACCAACCAAAGGAGTCTATATTAGCTTCTTTCTGCTACTGTAACAAATTATCACACATTGAGTGACTTAAGACAATACAAATTTATGATCTTATTGTTCTGGAAATCAGAAATCCAAAACGGCGTTCACTGGGCTAAAACTGAGTTATTGGCAGGGTTGCGCTTCCTCCAGAAGCTCTAAGGAATCTACCATATCCTTGCCCTTTCCATCTTATAGAAGTTGCCTGAATACCTTGGCTCCCAGCTCCTTCCTTCATCTGCAAAGCCCATCACTCCAACCTTTGCTTCTGTCATAACATCCTCTCCCTGCTTCTCTGGCCCTCCCACCATGATTTTATAAAAGGACCCTTGTGATTACATTTAGAATCCACTCAGACAATCCAGGATAATCTCCCAACAGGAAAATCCTTAATTTATTCACATCTGAAGGCCTCTTTTGCCACACAAGGTGTCCTATTCAAATATTCTAGATTAGGATGCAGACATCTTTGTGGGGACGTCATTATCCAGATTGCCACAGGGTCTAAAGCCCCAGGCAGGTCCCAAAAGAACTAGATCCTGTCCTCTCTATTTCTTTTTTTTTCTTTACTGTATATAATTTCCCCCTTTTTACTACCCAAGTCCATTGTTTTTTGTTTGTTTGTTTAATTTTTTTAAGGCAAAGCATCACTCAGGCAGGGGTGCAGTAGTGCCATCACAGCTCATGGTAGTTTCAAATTACTGGGCTCAGGAAACCTCCCAACTATTCTGAGTAATGGGACTACAGGTGTGCATCACCATGCCTGGTTAAATTTTTAAAAATTTGGCCGGGTGCGGCGGCTCACGCCTGTAATCCCAGCACTTTGGGAGGCCAAGGCAGGTGGATCACAAGGTCAAGAGATTGAGACCATCCTGGTCAACATGGTGAAACCCTGTCTCTACTAAAAATACGAAAAATTTAGCTGGGCATGGTGGCGTGTGCCTGTAATCCCAGCTACTCAGGAGGCTGAGACAGGAGAATTGCCTGAACCCAGGAGGCGGAGGTTGCGGTGAGCCGAGATCGCGCCATTGCACTCCAGCCTGGGTAACAAGAGCGAAACTCCGTCTCAAAAAAAAAAAAAAAAGAAAAAAGAAAGAAAGAAAAAGAAAAAAATTAAAAAACATTTTTAGTAGTGACAGGGTCCTGCCATGTTGGCCAGGATGGTCTCAAACTCTTGGGCTCAAATAATCCTCCCACCTTGGCCTCCCAAAGCACTGGGATTACAAATATGAGCCACCATGCTTGGCCCCCACATCCATTATAACAGAGGTTCTACTCTGCAGAACTGGCGTTTATTATCCATTTCAAGCTTAGCTCTGAAAAGTTACCGAATTATCTTCATATAGATTTCAAATCCTTCCAGTAAAAGCTTTTACAAATGGAAGCTGACCAATTCCCTGAACAAATGAAAGACCAAATGAACAGTTCTTGTATAACTTTATACTCACTCACTACTTGTAGCCTACTGAGGTTCCAGAATCAGACACAAGGTAAGAAAGTTTGGTCTCCCTGAAAGTTACAATCTATGTGACGAGAGGACAGACCAAACAGTGATGAATATACATGAAATATCACTCTGAGATGGTGGGGTTATGGATGCTAAATGGGTGAGAGATCAAAAGAGGAGATCAGCACTAACAGAAATGCTCAAGGATGGTTCTCACAAGAGAAACGACATGAGCTCAGCTTTGAAGCACAACCTGGGTACAGACTAACTAGTCACTGAGCATGAGCAGAGGCGTGCATGATGTGACCAATGTGTAAGGAAGAAAGCAGGGACGCCTACTGAATAAACTCTAGGAGCTATTCAGGAAAGGAGAAAAACCATAGAAAAAACAGAAGGTCTTGGAATCCGGTTGTTTTGTTAAAAGGCAATTAGAATCACTGTAGGTTTACTGACATGGACCTCATAATGAAAAATTTCAGGGACATAAATCTATAAATAATACCTGAGGTGGTTAATAAGAAGTGATAATTTCCTCATCAACTGGGGCTGGAATTTTATGGAAAAGGGCCCTGACTGAGTGATGATGAAAGCTGAATGACATAACTAACATTTCAGAAGAAGATCTTGGGGGTTAGAAGAGAGAGGAGAGGAAAGAACAAGAAATCAAGATGACTTCTCAATCTCCAGCTTATGGGACATGCAGAAACACATCTCAGGAAGATGGGAAAACATCTAGAAAGAAGAAACAAGATTACTGGTTCTATTGGCTGAGATGCTTTGTAAAATGGGAGAAGTGTAAGGACAGAGGTGCTGGAATTGCAGGGCTCTGGATGATAACTAAGAATGGGCAGCACCACAGGTGTAAGAATTTAAGCTGAATTCATGAGCTCTTAGGGGAAAGTTTCCAATCTGAATAGAAAACAATTGGCAAGATTCGTCACAAAAGTCCCCACCATTAGAGTGGATGGAAAATACCCAACTTCAGGACTCAAGAAGAGGCTGTAGCACACTGCTAAAAAGAACAAGAAAAAGACAATGTGTATATCCTACAGTTGACAATGTGCAAAATAACTACGAATTCCTATATGCTTGTGGTTGCATAAAGAAACTATGTTATGCATCTAACAGAAGTTACTAAAAGTGATTACCTGGGGCAGAATGTCAGTGAAAATGGCAAAGCAAAGACATCTAAAATTTCACCACTATGTAAAAGCAACTAAGAAACTGGCTAAACTGGCCAGGCCTGGTGGTTCATGCCTATAATCCCAGAACTTTGGGAGGCCGAGGCAGGCAGATCACCTGAGGTCAGGAGTTTGAGACCAGTCCGGCCAACATGGTGAAACACTGCCTCCGCTAAAAATACAAAAAATTAGCCAGGTATGGTGGCGCGTGCCTGCAGTCCCAGCTACTTGGAAGGCTGAGGCAGGAGAATCTCTGGAACCCAGGAGGTGAAGGTTGCAGTGAACTGAGATTGAGCCACTGCACTCCAGCCTGTGTGACAGAAGGAGACGCTGTCTCAAAACAAAACAAAACAAAACCTGGCATAATTGTCAGAAGGCGTTTTTTCCAAAATTCTGTAAATTAACCAAAGCCTTGCAGGACCCAGGAAACATTTATTCTAGAAAAGTGAATTTTAATAAGAACAGTAAGCTATGTGGTATTTTAACTTACCCTGGTCCCATCTCTGGCTCAGTAATAGGCTTGAAAAATGACAGCCCCCACTTGTGATACTTCAGTGAACAGAACAAAGCTGGAGCTTTCTTAAAGCCTCACTGCCAAAGAACAGTCCTTACTAGAACTGCCTAGGGGCTCCCTGGAAAACTACACTGGAAAAGCTGGTCTTTGTTTTGCCTGACAGAAAATTCTCATAATGTTAAAAAGCCTCTAGGGAGAAAGTACTTTTCTAACATTTACAGGCAATGTTTTAAAGTCACCAATGCCTGAGGTGATGGCAAACAGGTAGGGCCCAAAACACACTAGTCAAAAATATGAAATGGAAGAGCTGAGGAATGAGATGTCTGCAGGGCCTTTGAGAAGTTCCAACCTAGAAGGCAACATGCATACACATAATAATTAAACTCACAGACTAAAAGCCAAAGAGAGAATCCTGACAGCAGAAAGAGAGAAGAAACGCATCACATACAAGAGATCCTCAATAAGATTAACAGCTTGTTTCTCAGATACTATTCAGGCCAGAGAGAAAGGAAAAAAAAAAACAAAAAACAAAAAACATGACAATAAAAAATTCTATACCCCATAAAATTATCCTTCAAAAATGAAGGAGAAATCAAGAGCTTTCCAGATAAACAAGACGCAATGGTTTGCTGCTAGCAAACCTGCCCTATGGGAAATGCTGGCTGGGCATAGTGACTCAAGCCTGTAATCCCAGCACTTTGGGAGGCTGAGGCGGGGGCATCACTTTAGCTAAGGAAGTTCAAGACCAGCCTAGACAACATAGTGAGGCATAGTGGCATGCACGTATAGTCCCATCTACTCAGGAGGCTGAGGTGGGAGGATCACTTGATCCAGAAGGTTGAGACCACGGTGAGCCATAATCATGCCCCTGCACTCCAGCCTGGGCAACAGAATGTCTTTTTGGTCTCAAAAACCAAAATGGAAATGCTAAAGTCCCTCAGGCTGAAATGAAAGAACATTCAACAGTAACTCAAAGTAAAAAACACCAATAGGCCAGGCGCGATGGCTCACGCCTGTAATCCCAGCACTTTGGGAGGCCGAGGCGGGTGGATCACGAGGTCAAGAGATGGAGACCATCCTGGTCAACAAGGTGAAACCCTGTCTCTACTAAAAATTACAAAAAATTAGCTGGGCACGGTGGCACGTGCCTGTAATCCCAGCTACTCAGGAGGCTGAGGCAGGAGAATTGCCTGAACCCAGGGGGTGGAGGTTGTGGTGAGCCGAGATCGCGCCATTGCACTCCAGCCAGGGTAACGAGAGTGAAACTCTGTCTCAAAAAAAAAAAAAAAAAAACACCAATAAAGATAGCTACATATGTATAAAAAGACAATATAAATGCAATTCTGCTACTCAGGAGGCTGAGGCAGGAGAATTGTTTGAACCCAGGAGGCGGAGGTTGCGGTGAGCTGAGATCGGGCCATTGCACTCCAGCCTGGGTGACAAGAGTGAAACTCCATCTCAAAAACAAAAAGAAAGTGGTTACCTGTGTGTGTGCCCCTGTGTTTCTGGGTTTTGGGGGACAAACAGAAATGTAAGAGGAGGGAGTATAAATTAGTTGTTTTTATTGTTGTTGTTTTCTGAGACAAGGTCTTGCTCTGTCACTCAGGCTGGAGTGCAGTGGTGAGATCATAACTCACTACAGCCTCAAAATCCCAGGCTCAAGCAATCCTCCCACCTCAGCCTCCTGAGTAGCTGGGACCACAGGCAGGTACCATAAAGCCCAGCTAATTTTTTTCACAAATGAGATTTTTTTTTTTTAGCGTACACATTTAGCTTTCAGATATCTGGCCATTACCTATATTTTAAAAATCTATCCAAGAAGATGTAAGTAAGAAAGAACAAAAGCCCAAGCCGGGCATGGTGGCTCATGCATGTAATCACAGCACTTTGGGAGGCCATGGTGGGTGGATCACTTGAGGTCAGAAGTTTGAGACCAGTCCAGCCACCACGGTGAAACCCTGTCTCTACTAAAAATATAAAAATTAGCTGGGCATGGTGGCGGGTGCCTGTAGTCCCAGCCACCTGGGAGGTTGAAGAGGGAGAATCAGTTGAATCCAAGGAGTCTGGAGGTAGCAGTGAGCTGATACCGCACCAATGCATTACAGCCTGAGTGACAAAGCAAGACTCTATCTCAAAACAAACCACCAAAAAAACCAAAAATCTCCAAAAACCGATTTTTTCAAAGAAGCATCTGTAGCTATAGGTTACAAGTTTGGCAATAGAAGAAATAAAGTAAACATTTTAAGTAGCTAACTGGATGAGAGATAACCTTAGAGGTTACAGAAAACAGGAGTCATCAAGAGAGCAGGCAGCGAGGGACTGAAACTGTAGCACGCAAAAATGGCTACCTTATGAGTATGGTGATACTTCTGTGCTCAAAATCAATAGCAGTAAGGGAAGAAAGCTCCTTAGAGGGAATTCTAAACGTATCTGAGGAAGATAACTCTTCATGGCCTTATCCTGTTTCTCAGCAAAGAAGGCTTGGAGGGAAGTTCCTTGCTTAGCCTGGGGTCTGCCCTCACCTGGACAAGCTCGTTGAGGACATGTCTGCTCCACTGACCACGGCTCTTCTCCTTGCTCCAACAGGGAAATGACCTCAGGCTTGGCAGTCTGATTTCCTATGCGTGGAGGAAAAGTATGGAACTGGTGTCACAAGGCTTCGGGACAGCCAAAGAAAGCTTCCCTTGCCTATTCCTCCCCGGGACTTCGCAACCTGGGCAGAATATGCAAGGTCCTTCCCACTTTATGTTTTGTAAGCATTAGTTTTGTCCTTAAACCTCAGGCCCAATATCATCTCAGCTCTTCTGAGACACCACCCTTGCCCCACAGTGAGCTTTTAAACATGGAGCCACTGAAGGCGTTACGATGGGAACAGCTTCATTTACGCCTTACCCACAGAGAGCAGGTGCCCATAGGTCTCCAGCATCACATCACGGTACAGAGTCCTCTGAACAAGGTCCAGCTGCCCCCACTCTTCTTGGGTGAAGTCTACAGCCACGTCCTTGAAGGTCACTGGTTCCTAAAAGAACACAAATGTTCCTTCTCAGCCTGTGACCACCCCTTCCAGTATTTCTAGGGATGGAGTGAGGCTGACAGCCCTGGAGAGGGAAGACAGGATGTAGAAAAACTGTCCTGGTTATTCAATAGTCTGACTAATGTGAGTCAGGTCTCACTGAGAACGACTGAAGACCCCACATTTGGGATAGCCTATTGATGATCCGTACATTCAAAGACTGTCTTTCTGGCCATGGTGAGGTTTCCATTCCCAGTTCATCTTGGTCCTAAAGACTGAAGCTAAGGGTGAGCAAGATGCCCCAGAGCAGCCCAGGCCAAGGAAAATCGGTTACAGCTGCCATCAAAAGCACTTGCATTAAACACAATCTAAACTTTTTTTTTTATTAAAGGAAGAAAACTCACTGGAAAATTAGAAAGGAAAAGGAAAGGTAATCTAAATCTGATTTTTCAAAACAATATATCCCTGAAGTCTTTTTATTCTTTTTTTTAATTTTTATTTTTGAGACAGAGTTTTACTATGTCATCCAGGCTGGAGTGCAGTGGGTACAATTTCAGCTCACTAAAACCTCCATCTCCCAGGTTCAAGTGATTCTCCTCCCTCAGCCTCCTAAGTATCTGGGACTACAGGCACACACCATCACGCCTAGCTAATTTTTGTATTTTTAGTAGAGACAGGGTTTTGCCATGTTGGCCAAGTCGGTCTTGAACTCCTAATCTCAAGTGATCTGCCCACCTTGACCTCCCAAGTGCTGGGATTATAGGCATGAGCCATTGTACCCATCCTCGAGTCCTTTTTTCTTCTCTTTTTTTTAATACATGTCCCTCGAGTCCTTTTAAGAAATCAATTCATCAGGCCAGGCACAGTGGCTCACACCTGTAATCCTAGCATTTTGAGAGGCCAAGGCGGGCAGATCACAAGGTCAGGAGATTGAGAACATCCTGGCCAACACGGTGAAGCCCCGTCTCTACTAAAAATACAAACATTAGCTGGGTATGGTGGCGTGTGCCTATAATCCCAACTACTGGGGAGGCTGAGGCAGGAGAATCCCTTGAACCAGGGAGGCGGAGATTGCAGTGAGCTGAGTTCACGCTGCTGCACTCCAGCCTGGGAAACAGGGCAAGATCCTGTCTCAAAAAAGAAAAAAGAAATCAACTCAGGCCAAGTATGGTGGTACCCACCTGTAGTCCCAGCTACTTGAGAGGCTGAAGTAGGAGGACAGCTTGAGCCCAGGAGGTGGAGGCTGCAGGCAACTGAGATTGCGTCACTGCACTCCAGCCTGGGTAACAGAGTAAGACCCCATTTAAAGACCCCCAAAGTAAGACCCCAAATAAAGAGGCCAGGCACAGTGGCTCACGCCTGTAATTGCAGCACTTGGGAGGCCAAGGCAGGCAGATCACCTGAGGTCAGGCATTCGAGATCCAGCCTGGCCAACATGGTGAAACCCCATCTCTACTAAAAATACAAAAATTAGCCAGGTGTGGTGGTAAGCACCCATAAACTCAGATACTTGGGAGGCTGAAGAAGGAAAATCACTTGAACCCAGGATGAAGAGGTTGCAGTGAGCCTAGAACACACTATTGCACTCCAGCCTGGGCAACAGAGCAAGACTCCATCTCAAAAAAAAAAAAAAAATAGTTGAGGCGGGGAATCAACTCGAGCTTCAGGCATCTGGGCATTCCCAGATTGGGAGACAGAGTGCATGGCAGGTCTGCCACAAACCCCACAACCCATCTATACACTATGGTCCTCTCCCATGCTGACCCGGCTTCTAATCTTCCTTTAAAATCGGTACAGAATGAACCCTGAAGGCTGGGCATGGTGGCTCACACCTATAATCCCAGCACTTTGGGAGGCCAAAGCAGGAAGATTGCTGGAGTTCAGGAGTTCAAGACTAGCCTGGGCAATATGGTGAAACCTTGTCTCTACGAAAAATACAAAAATTAGCCAGGTGTGGTGTGCGCCTGTAGTCCCAGCTACTTGGAAGGTGAAGTGGGAGGACAGCTTGAACCCAGGAGGCGGAGGCTGCAGTGAGCTGAGGTCATAGCACTGCACTCCAGCCTAGGAAAGAGAGTGAAACCCAGTCTCAAAAAAAAAAAAAAATCAACCCCGAGACACCCGCTGAACAGACATGTGCGCAGTGTTCCGCTCCAAGGGTCCTCTGGACCTCTGCCCCTTCTCTTCATAGCTGCATCATATCACTTCTACCAAAATACAGGGTGTCCTGTAGCCCTCCTAATCATAGCTTATGAACTGAATTTGCTGTCTCTGATCTGAGCCAGCCCTCCCTGCTGAATCTTTAGTGTATAAGTTTTTACTTTGTCTCAATTGCTTCCCCTCTATCTTCACGTGATGGGCTTATAACAAAGAACGAATTCTGCTCCAATAAATCCCATATCCTTAAAAGACAACTCCTGCTCACGACTCCCCATTCTCAGCCATACTGTCGCCTATGGCAAGGACTGTCCATCCTCTTTTCCATGGCTGAACCTCATCTCTGTATCCCGCCTCCTCAGAGGCACAGAATCGTCTCTCCTGCGGCCTCGTATCCCCGTACAGATGTCTCTTGTGACCCCGTCCCACTTCTGGCAGTCAACCTCCTCCTGCAAGGTACACCCTCATCTTCCCTCCTTCCTTGCCTCCAACTCTTATCCCACTGCACTTCCTTCTCTGCCTTTATAATGTTTTCCTGTTCCTTGGTATTAGAAATGTTTTCTTTATATTAATCATTTTTGCTGATCTATATTGAAGCATTTTGGAGCAATAAACATATAGTAATTACATGATTCTTATTTTTACCAAGCTCTCACTAAGATCCCCAATGTCTTGTGATTGCCAAGCCCAAAGTTTGATTTTTGCCTTTACCTTCTTGGCCTTTGCAGCATTTAGAAGTGCTGGCAACAACCTCCCTCTATGAAACCCTCCCCAACCCCCATGGTCAATGATGACTCCTTGGTTTTCCTCTTACAAACTGCCCAGACCTCAGTATGCTTGAAGCCTACTGTTTCTTGATTTTATGGTAATGAAAGGTTTTTTAATTTAACGTAACATGGAGTCGGGAGTGGTGGCTCATGCCTGTAATCCCAACGCTTTGGGAGGCCAAGGTGGGTGGATCATTTGAGAACAGGAGTTCAAGACAAGCCTGGCCAAGATGATAAAATCCTGTCTCTACAAAAATTAGCTGGGCATGGTGGCACACGACTGTAATCCCAGCTACTCGGGTGGCTAAGGCACAAGAATCTCTTGAACCTCAGAGGTGAAGGTTGCAGGGAGCCAAGATCTCACTACTGCCCTCCAGCCTGGGTGACAGAGGGAGACTCTGTGTTTAAAAAAAAAAAAATTAAAATAAATAAATAAATAAATGTAACATGGACAGAGAAGTGCACAAAACCTACGCTTGATGCACTTTCACAGAGCAACAGCACCTGGGGAACGAGCTAGGCAGCCGTGCTAATGGCCCAGGGTGCTTCTGACTCTGTGCTGATCTCACATATCCTAATCTCTCTGGGGTAGCGCCTTCTAAGAGGGCTTCAACATTCACCTACAGTTAACACCGTGCAATCCCACACCCTAAAGGCTGTCCAGCTGGTGGAATGAGCCACAAATTCACTTCCCACCCCTCCCAAGACCCCAATGGAATCACTGTATCTTTAAAAAGAGAGGAATTGATGCCAGGTGTGGTGGCTCACACCTGTAATCCTAGCACTTTGGGAGGCCAAGGCAGGTGGATTGACTGAGCTAAGGAGTTTGAGACCAGCCTGGGCCACATGGGGAAACCCCATCTCTACTAAAATACAAAAAAATTAGGGGCCGGGCGCAGTGGCTCACGCCTGTAATCCCAGCACTTTGGGGGGGCCGAGGCGGGTGGATCATGAGGTCAAGAGATTGAGACCATCCTGGTCAACATGGTGAAACCCCGTCCCTACTAAAAAAAAAAAATACAAAAAATTAGCTGGGCACGGTGGCATGTGCCTGTAATCCCAGCTACTCAGGAGGCAGAGAGGCAGGGGAATTGCCTGAACCGAAGAGGCGGAGGTTACAGCGAGCTGAGATCACACCATTGCACTCCAGCCTGGGTAACAACAGCGAAACTCCATCTCAAAAAAAAAAAAAAAAATTAGCCAGCTGTAGCGGTGTGCACCTGTAGTCCCAGCTACTTGGGAGGCTAAGGCAGGAGAATTGCTAGAATCTGGGAGGTGGAGGTTATGGTGAGCCGAGACTGCACCACTGCACTCCAGTCTGGGTGACAGAGCAAGACTCTGTTGCTAAAAAAAGTAAAAAATAGGGCCGGGCGCGGTGGCTCACACGTATAATCCCAGTACTTTGGGAGGCCGAGGCGGATGGATCACAAGGTCAAGAGATCGAGACCATCCTGGTCAACAAGGTGAAAGCCCGTCTCTACTAAAAATACAAAAAAAATTAGCTGGGCATGGTGGTGCATGCCTGTAGTCCCAGCTACTAGGGAGGCTGAGGCAGGAGAATTGCTTGAACCCAGGACGCAGAGGTTGCGGTGAGCCGAGATCGTGCCATTGCACTCCAGTCTGGGTAACAACAGCAAAACTCCGTCTCAAAACAAAAACAAAAGTAAAAAATAAAAATAGAGGAATTACATCTAATTATCACAAAAGGACTGAAACAATTAGAGCAGTTCTACAGTCCCTAATAAAACAGTGGACAGTGGAAATGACCATCATCAATGACTGCTCAGCCGCAGGTGAAAGGCAGACAGGGAGCTTTATAATGGAGGGGTCAGTCTGACAATAACTGCACACACTAATCCATCATACCTGAAAACAAGACAACCAGACACCACGTGCCCACCAATGCAATGAAGTATTAAGTATTCTTACCAAAAACACCAACGAATCTACTCAGGCCTCTAGTCCAACTACTAGTTTACAGGAGATGAGGGGATGGAGGAACTTATTCAATGATATCATGAAGGCAAAAATCAGGCAAACCAACAAGACCAGTGATCTAGTTTCTTTAGCATATGAAGCACACGC